CTGGAGAGCTGGATTCAAGGTAGGAACTATGAGGTGGGTGGAAAATCAGCTCAACAGCTGGGCTCAGAGGGCTGAGGTGGGCTCTTAGGAGTCTGGTTGTTGGTTGGTATTAGTAACACACCTCAGGGGTTAGTAATGGGCCAGGTAATGCCGAGGGGCTTCACTACCATCCTAGGCATTGGGATGGGCTGTGGTTTCATGGGTAACAACAAACTGGGGGCAGGGAAGTGATTGACACAGCAGGGCCAGGGCTGTCCTTCAGAGGGAGCTCAACAGGCTAGAAAATTGGGCTGGCAGGAACCTCAAGGTTCACCTAAGATAAACACAGAGCTCCACACATGGGAGAGAGGCATAACCCCATGTCATGGAACAAGCTGGGCGCTGACTGGCAAGAAAGCAACTCTGCAGATAAAGGGGCTGATGGACAAGCTGACCATGAGTCAGTGAGGGAACTGAACACTACACAGCCTGAGCTTCAGCAGTCTGCTGTCTACATGTCTTATAAATGTAGGCGGCAGCCAGAGGGAATGGATTGTCACTTCTGTTTTGGCACTTGTGAGACTGAGTCTGCAGAACCGTGTCAGGTTTGGGCCTGCGCTGCACAGGACTCAGCTTGGGAACTGAAGTGAGTCCAAGTGGAGCGCTGACGGGAGGATCAGTAGCTGGAGCATATCAAGTAAAATGATATGCTTAAAAAGAGTGGTTTGCTCCATTTTACAAGAAGATTAAGGGGGGGGGGTGTGAGTGCTGTCTTCAGCTACAAGATGTGTGACTGTAGGAAGGATGGAGCCAGACACTTCTGATGGTACAAAACAAAATGGCAAGAAGCAACAGAGATAAGGCAGAGCAAGGGGAATTCTGATAATTGTCTTTGAAGACACAATTACTCTCGTCTCTTCCCACAGCCCCAGACATTACTCTTCCGACACTCTCATGTGGAAGAACATGTCCTTCTGCCTGTTTCCCCTGTAAGACAAATGCTTGTTCTGCAATCGGCTTCGTATCTGACCTGCAGTCCCTGTTCCTCTTCATTACAACCCATAAGACTCCAGGTAGTCTATTTAGTCCTATTAAATTAGATAAAATACTTAAATTACTAATGATATTCAGCAGAAAGCTCAGCTTCTGTCACAACAGGTATTAAGCCTTTCAAACAAATTCAATTTATATAACCACAACATTTTAAACACCTGCAAATAATTTGGTCACTTTTAGTTCTTTATTAAAACTCATTTAATACCATCTTTAGAATGGAGCCAGAATACTTTCAAATGTTTATCAAATCCTGTTTTTCTCAGTGACCAAAAGTTCAGTTTCTCTTAGAATAGTCCATCTGAGCCTCTCAAAAATTATCCTAAACTATCATACTTTTAGGATTCATATATATAGCTGATAACTATCATGATATGAACTGAGGATAATAATTTATTATTTAAATAATAAATACATGATTCATTTTCAGAGCATTTCTTTCAATGAATTGTGCTTCCTTAACAGTGAAACAGAATTTAAAATATATATCTTTCTAGTTGTAAATCAAATCAGGGTTTGCTCTGCTTAGTGATTTTTTTTTTTTTGAACCATTCCTCAGAAAAACACACTTAAATCCATAATTCCTGTGTTTATTCTTAAAATTTAAGCCTTCAGCATATGTATTTCATACTGGTTATCTTTGTTGACTACTAAAGGAGAAACATCCTTTGTGAAATGCTGTTTTTCCTGCCCCAAACACTGACCTACCTACCTACCAGCTAGCCTTTCACTTGCTTCTTTCTCTCCTGTCAATCTTTCCATCCTTGGGTTCTCATTTTAAGAAAATATTTTCCATGTTTTTATTTCTCCTCTGCTGACTTTGTACTTCTTCACACTTCAATCTACACTTCCTCTCTTGGCTCTTTTTCAGGAAAAAATTTTGCTAATGCTTTGCAAACTCTGCTGAAAGGCATCGAAAAATCAAATGCAGGAATGGATTCAGTAACTATGAAATGTATTCCTTAGGAAAAGGAGGTTTCCATCACTGCCAGGTAGTTGTTATAGGAGGTAGCTGTTAGAAACTTACACTCCCTCTAGCCCTAATTAAGACAAAGCAGGTAGCATAATCAGTTTAAAATAGTAGTGAATACAGACAGAGCATGGATGTACAATCTCCGCAGTTTTGGATCCTACCTTTCTCCAAGCTTAACTAAGAAAATAAAAAGTAAATTCTATAATGTCTTGTTTTAGTTTTGGCAAATAGTGATGTATTTATAGGGTTAGACTTTTCACAGGAATATCATTCTTTACTATACGCTCATTTCTCATCTGTTTTTATTTGATGGCAGATGCTTATACCATTGTAGATTTGCTTGACTATGGGCTCATGATTACCTTTTTCCTATTCACACTGGTTAGTACAATCAAAAGCTTCCTTGATGTCTCTTCTCTGTTTGCACGGGCTGTGCTGTAAGCCTCTATAGTGATTTTTAAATGTAACCTCTCTTACTTTTGAATTGTCAGGACTGGAAGGGACATCTGGGAGATCATCCCGTCCAACCCCTGCCAAAGCAGGGTCACCTGGAGCAGGCGACTCAAGAACGTGTCCAGGGGGGTTGGGAAAGTCTCCAGAGGGGGACAATCCACGACCTCCCTCGGCAGCCTGTTCAGTGCTCCGCCACCCTCAGTGAATGAAGTTCTCCCTCACGCTGGGGTGGAACTCCTCGTGTTTCAGTTTGCGGCCACTGCTGCTCGTCCCGTCGCTGGGCACCACCGAAAGGAGCCTGGCACCATCCTCTTGGCATCTGCCTTAACTATGTTGACGAGATCCCCCCCTCAGTCTTCTCCAGACTAAATAGACCCTGAGCGCCCGCGTACATGTTAAAAAACTACGGCGTGTAATTCGCTTTCCCCGCGACCGAACGCAGCCGCCCAGTCCTCCCCGCGCCGGGAGCGGGGAGTGTCTGTTCCGGTGGTGACGTGACGACATCCAGGAAAAACAGTGTTTGCTTCCCTTAGCGGAGCCTCCTCTCGCCCCGCGCCCGGAGCTGCCTGAGGGAGGGTCGGCCCCGCGCCCGGTTTTGTGGGTGCTCCTCTGCCCGTCCTCCCCCGCCCCGAGCCCGCACAGCCCCCGCCGAGCCCGCTGCCGCCTCACGCCGTGTCCCGGCCCCGCGGGATGGCGGCGGGCGAGGAGCAGAGCCGGGAGTACCTGCGGCGGCACCGGCTGCCCGAGCTGCTGCACCACCTCGGAGCGCTGCTGCTCTTCCACCGCCCCGGTGCGGCCCCGCCCGCGGGGAGGGAGCGGGGCGAGCGGGGCTGAGCGGCCTCGGCGCCCCGGCTGAGGGCCCCGCTCTGGCTTGGTTGCAGAAAGGCCACGCGAGTTCCTGATCCAGGTGCTGGAAAGGGTGAAGGCTGGCAGGCGGGCCGAGGGGGAGTACCCGGACCTGATGGACGAGGCCAACGTGGAGGCCATGTTCAGCCTGCTGGACGTGCTGGGCCAGGGCCACATCACGCCCGTGCAGTACAGGGAAGGTGCGTCCCCCCCCCGGAACCGCAGCTCACACCGCACAAGTAATACAAGAGTTTCAGAGTTACACATCTGTATACTTTACGATTATCCGCACACCTCCCCCTGCGCAACCTGGAACGTGAGAAGTTAAAAAAGAAAAAAAAATACACCTTTGCTTTTTATTCAGTTTAGGCCACTTGAAGATCTTAAATCCATCTTTCAAAAACTCACATAGGAAATTCTCTTTCCTTAACTTTAGCTCTTAAAACGCTGGGACTGAGCACTGAGGATCTGGAAGTGGGAGATGATGAAAATATCACACTGGAGGTATTCAAGGAAGGAGTGTAAGTTGCAGTTGTTTTTTTGGAGGGGTAGTTAGGAGATATCCAAGATTTTATAAGGCTGACCATGCTTGGCTTGCTCTAAGATCAACCAAATTCCATTTTCCTCTACCAGCTCAGTTTCAGGATCCTCTCACCTTACCCACCTCTGTCATCAGGCAGCCCAGGGGGTTCCAATACTGATTTAAAAATGTGAAAGGGTGACGCACTGTTGTCTTCATTGCCGGGGGTGGTACTACAGCTGTAGATTAAAGAAGATCAAAGTTTTAATAATTTCTCATAGTCAAGGTATGGTTCTAGGGACAATTTGCAGTAACTGATTATCCACACTGTTATCTAACTAGAGGTTTTCTTTTTCTGTCTTAGGAAGAAAAGGATGCTGGAGAGCTGGGCTGTGTATTAGTTTGAGCAGTGGTCTGCAATATATATGAGAAATAGGCATCTGCCTCAATTTTTCTTCTGGCTCGTCAGCTGTGGATAGCTGATTTTAAGCGGCATTCTTTTTTCTTGTCTCCCCCTGCTTCAGATGAGCAATCAGCTGAAAAATACAAGTGACAAGAACTTGTTCATGTCTATCAGGCATTGGAGGGATATTGTTTGAGAATTGCTTTTCTTAATACAGTTACATGGTTTAAATAAAAAAAAAAAAAAGAAAAAAATCTCTTATGCAACTAAAACAGTGTTTGGGAGTTTCCTCCTTCAAGTTGTAGCTTACGGTAAGGGATTGTTACCAGTTGGCTCATTATCATTGAATAAAATTAAGTTGGTTTTTGGGCTTGTGTTGTGTTTCGGGTTTATTTGTTTTTTCTTTTTAAGGAAAAGCAACTTCAACAAGTGACAATAGATGGTCACAGGTAAAGGTAGGCAGTGCCTCCAAGTAAAGTGCTGTTTTTAAACTTACCACACACTATTTATGCAATTTTTAAGAATTTTAAGGAGAAACTTTTCAAAAAATTAAGAGGGACTCTCAAACAGAAAAAAAGAAAAAAATTAGTATGAATGAAGAAAATAAAGTGTCTTCTTCCTTCTTTGGAATTTTTTTTTTTTTTTAAGTAGAGAATAAAGCATAAGATCAGATTAAACCATTTGTTTAGCATACAGGATTGAAAAAAATGACACAAGTATATTAAAAATATTTGCTTTGCTTTTGCTTGGAGTAAGTAATCTAGACCAAGATATTAACCATTGCTGAATAAATCTTTATTTTCCTGTATTTGGCCAACTAGCTCTCAAATTGAGAAGAATCTCGACATCCTTTTGAGCCAGTTTATAAACTCCAAGTTCATTTAGTGCTGCTGTTGCAGAGGGCTGGCTTGGATTAAAAGTTTCATTTTCTGAAGCTGACTGTAGGACATCCTTCAGTAGCAAGGCGGAGCCAACATTCAGATTCAGGATAATGCAGGCTTCTTTTATGCTAGAGGAAAAAGTTACATGGATTAATACAAGCAGCACTCATGAGATAATCACTGTGTGCACAAATCGAAGTGTAACAAAAAAAACTTCCATGCTCTGTGTTGGTTTAAAAATATTAAGGTTTCTGCCCCAGTTAGCCTAGGAGTTTGATGCTGGACTCTTCGGAAGACTGTGGGCTGTGTAAAAAGGACTCATCACAAATAAGGTAGCAGCTTCTCATCCATGACAGCAACAAGAGTGCTACACAAGGCAGTTCTGAGCAGGAACATATTTTAAAGTAGTCTGTCTTGAACAGTAAAGTTTATCGTGTTGTAACTGTATCTTTGATTAGGTTCTTTGGCCCCAGTTTCACTAGTCTGTGCTAGTTAATATTTCTTCCATAGGTTAATCTATCTGGGCATCCTCACTGCACAAAATAACCCAGGACACATCAGTCTGTCGCTGAGTACATGCTTCAGAGTAAAACCTTTCCTAGTTGAAAACAACAGAGGCATAAACAACCCACACATTTTAAGCATGGATCAAAACTAACTGTGAAAAAACTTTGGTCTTACGTAAAACACACATGTTCATCTGGACACTCACTTTTGACATACCAATAGATCAGAAGTTTGCCTACTTACTGCTTGAAGTAGTTTTCTGGCCTCTTGCAGTAGTGTGAAAATAAAGGGAACAAATTTCTGCTCATGTCAAACTGAAGTTGTGCTGCTCCTCCTTCATTGAAATGATTTGCCATAATTATCTACAAACACAAAGAGGAGCATCTGCTGTTTAAGCCAGTCACTGACACTACACGGCACTGCGCAGGTCACACTGATACCTACTTCCTGATAGATGTAGAGATCCACTTTCTCGGCAAGCATTTGCCAGAAGATTTTGAACAGTGAGTGGCAGAGCTGCTGTTCCAGTTGCAGCAAACGGTCCCGCAGGGTCTGCAACATGGGGCAGGCTGTGCTTGACAAAGACATCACTGCCTGCTCCGCCTGAGATGGTAAAGACAACCACCTGAAAGAAACCATTGCACTGAAGTCATTATAAAGAAATTATTCACACTACAACAACTGAAGTTAAAATTATCCTTTAAAAAAAAATCTTACCCATTTACAATGGTTCAGAGACAGTTCTCCTTTCCCGTTTCTAATCTACAAGTTATCAGTCTAATGCTGTGTTTGAATTTCATTTAATATTAAACTCATGCTTTAGTTATAAATCTCTGAACATGTCACTCCAGGAAACCCCATCTAATCTGGAAATCATTAAGTTCTAATCCTTTCATGAAGTACTTCAGAAATTCTGCTCTGGAGGAAATATTCAATAGGCCCTACGAGACTGTGAAGACAGAACAGTCATTACGGACCACTTTGCATTAAATCTTTACCACCGCAATGTATAAAATTATTCTCGTCCAAACCAGAGTGATCCAGAATTCTTCCTATGGTTTTTAAGATAATGCACCCACTAACTGTGGAACTAGTTTAGAAAACATAGCATGAAAATAGTTCTAAGGTAAGTATTAATAGAATTTTCCAAAACTTACTACCCTGCAGCATTCCTACTCAGGAAAAAAAAATCCTACCTATTATCTATTCCTGCCTTTATTTACCTCGGTACTTTTAACAGGAAATAATATGGGAAGAGATTAAACAGACAATCACCTCTCTTTTTTGTACAGCTTTGCAGCATCTTTGACCTCCCTGAAGACATGATCGACTTGGCGGGTCAGCATGTCGTGCTTCAGGCGCTCCAGGAGGTTGATCATCTCATCAAAGACAGAGCTCTCCATGGATGCCAACTGCCCCAGCTGGAGCTGACTGACAGTGTCACTCTCTGCACGAACCTCCAGCTCGGCCTGCTGGAGCTGCAGGAAGAACTAGGGAAACAAAACCGGGTATGAACACTACAAAAAAGTAATCTTGCCATTTGAACTTTTCATTGATACTTCGATAGGCACAGTTCTAGAGAACACTCTCCTGGCACATTTCTAAACTTAAAAATTTAGGATTTTAAAAACACTTTCTTATCTTTCCCGGTTTAGTGAAAAACAAACAACAGTGGTTTAATTCTAGCAATGGAACTGATACGGGTTCCAGATACAATAGCAGATAGGTAATGGGAACAGATCCAGAGAAAAACTAAAGAGATGTTTTAAGACTGATAGCAGAGTGCTTTAAAAAAACCCCGACCTTGACCTTTTAAACCTTTGCAAAAGTAAACACTAATTGTAATTTTTTAGAAATGAGCATTCATTAAATCGTAAGTTTGCTGTGCTGACAACAGCAAGAAAATGGACTGAGTCTATCGAGTTTAATGTGACATTGTGGTAACGAACTTGTTGGTTTTGCTTTTAAACAGATCAAGACACTGTAGTAGATGCACTTATACACATAAAGGCTGCTGTCCTATCAAGTCAAGATTACCCTCTGCTAGAGCCACAGCTTTCTGTGAAGACAAAAAGAATTTGGAGGCTGCTGCCTACGCTTCAACATCAGGGCTGCTAACACTGGTTCAGAGATCTCCAAACTCAATAGTTTTTTACAATAAAAAGGCATGTAAATGAGACTACTTTTTTTTTGTCTGTTCAGATTATTCCATTCCTCAGGCCTGCTTTGCATTTCCCTAGGAAGTTTATAATCAATGCAGCTTAGATCTCAAACAATAATCTGTCCTTATTTATACATCTTCTAATAAATCTGAATTTACATCTCATTCTATTTGTTCTGTAATTTGTTCTGAATACACTTAAACAATACTGAAATAAAAGTGTAATGAAACAAACCTCCAAAGTCTATTTTTAATTTTTTTTTTCTAGTAGAATAATTACTTACTACATTGTCAGCCCAGTCTGCCAACACTGTTGCTATATAGTTGACAGCATTAAGGATTGCACAGTATCGGAATCCTAAGGAAGCTCTGGTCTCTTCCTTCATCACTTGAGTTAATCGTATCCTGAAATCATCAACTAACTCCTTCTGTAGGCCCAGAAACTGCAGTTTTCTGGAAGCTGTTGGAAGATTCTTATACCTGTCTGGAAAGACATTATTAAAAAAATGCTTTTAGGTTTTCCAACAATGAAAAAAGAAATGTTATAGTCATCTTACTGCACCACCTTAGGCCTGTGAGAACATCATACAGTATTCAAAAAAAAAAATTTTTTTTTTCCAACAATTTCAGGGAAGTTACTCAAGCAAAAGCTAAACGGGCAAAGAAACGACATTCCCCCCCTCCTGATTACACCAGCAGTTTGTGTTCTAACACTTGGAGCAATGTGTGGCTGTACTGCACCCTCCAGCATGGCCCCTAAAGCCTCCTCACACAGAGGGAAGACAAAGCCACTGAATATATATATCCTGAAAACATACTTGATCTTATGTTCTGTTCCAAAAAAGCTGATGTTACTTAATAGCTTCTAAATTGTCACAGAATCAAAAGGAATAGTATGATTTATTACTGCATTCTAACAAATTATCTTCTGTCATGTAAATGTATGTGTATTTTAAGTTATTATTTTGTAAACATGTCACTAGCTCAAGATTGTTCATGTGTGTTAGTGTCCAAAATACAAAACAAACAGGAAGCTTTCATAAGCTGCAAACATCACAACATTATTGGGTGACTACTGCTGGCAATGAATAATTAGCAAAGAAATCTGTTAGGTGAATTACAAACAACAGCAATGCCCATAGATATAATTACCTGTTATAACTAACAAGAGAGTCATAAAAGTTTCAGCACAGTCTGGAACTTTCATTTCATCGACATCAGTGATATCTTTGTACTGTGATATCCATGCAGCCTCTGATGAAAGCATAGAGTCCATTTTCTGAAGAGCAACTGAGATGCACAAAACTTGTAAATTGCTTATGTTTTTAATTAAAAAAAAACTCTAACAAAAGCCCCTCTAAAATACATAAACATAAAAGTCTTATCTCTAATAAGTTAAATATTGCATTTTCAGGTTATAAAGAATACTGGCAACTGGCTTCATACAAAACCAGCTTCAGTGTATCTGTATTTACAATGCTGTTAACAGCAATGTCAGAGTTGACTGGGAGTTTGCTTTAGAATTTTAATAGTTGGCTTGCTCCTTTCTAATATATTTCTTATCATTCCTCAAAAACAATACCTTTCCCTTATTTCAGTTAAAAGTCCACCCTTGCCTGCACACACATAACATCTAAAAATAAGCCCACTTGATTCCATACAGCTTAAGGGAATCATTAAGAGTCCTACAAACTACAGAAGCACTGTTAGAGCCTAATCAATTTTTATTCAGAATAATCAGAGTATAAAAATACAAATGTTTTCTGTAGTAGCCCTGTCCAGGTGACTTATCCTATTTGAGAAGGCCAGTTGTGCAAGTTATACACATACTTTCTGACTGTGCAATATAAAGGCCAACAAAATCCATTGGAAGTCTTACATTTTTTTTCCACTGTTAGCCACCTTTGGAAGCAGGATTCTTCTGACAGAATATGCATGCAACTGGGAAAGCTGCTGAGATAACCATGAACGCTGTATAACTCTCTCTCAAACAGAAGTACCTCATCCACAAGGTGACAAAAGAGTGTATCATCATACAACAGGCAGGGAATATCAGCAGCCAACTTCTCCAAAATCAGCATTACTAGGGCACGAGAGAATTCAAGCTTTTGAAAGAAAGTGAATAAATGTCAGAGATAGGAAGTACTAAGCTGTGCAAACACGTACACAGCAAACTGCTACTAGACAAAGTCTCACCACATACTGAAATGAGTGGAAATGGGCTTACACAAATATCTATCAGAAGTTGACTTAGATATTCACATATACAAAGCCATGACAGTGCTTACCCCAGCATTCAGTGAAGATCCCACCTTGTCCAGTATTGGCTGGATTTTGTCATCAAGGAACTTTGCATGATTTCCAATCCACATAAGTACTTGTGTTAAATACCACTCAGGCTTATTTAAAAAAGAAAAGAAACTATTAAATGCATCCAAACAACATTTATTCAAGTGCTACTAAGTATCTTAGGACAAATTTCTAAAAATACCACTCTCTTCCCCTGCCTTCGCTTGATCTCAGGTCACACAAGTCTCTAATTATGTTTCACTTAGCTCTGATTTTTATAAAAGTATTATCAGAGAAATATTTCTGGATTTGCATTGTCTTAAATGTTCCAAATATTCTGTTTCTTCTCAAACAAAAGCTCCATTTTTTTTTTTTTGCCTTCTCACTGATGAGAGCCTCTTTTCCACTTCATGTGCTTCCTCCTGTTCTTCTGTGTGGTCTCTATTTCTCAGTACAACACAAAGGGCCTGGTCAAAGGAAAAATACTGCCTAGCCCAGAGAAAATGCCTGTGCCTCTGAAAGGACTCCAAGTCCTATCTCCATGTCTGTCCATACATTTAGGCCCTGCACAGTTTTGAAAAATCTTGATTTCAGAAAGAAAAGTGTGAAACCTATACAATGTAAATACAGCAATCTCTCTTGTTGTTCAAAAAAGCAATTTAGAAATATCAAACCACCTTCTCCCATACCTTGTTTAGAACATTGGTTTGTTTATTTCCAGTGAAATGATACTTGAATCTTTTCTGAAGAGGATTCAGCATGATCTGTATCGGAAGGGCAATGGGTGGTGAGGGGGGCAAAGAGTACTTTTCTGGCAATTGTTTAGGCTTGGTTAACAGTTCATCTCTAAGTTTGACAGTCAAGGATGAATTTAAGTGTGCAATTCTCCCAACATCATCATTTCAATAGAATGGGTTTATAAAAATCAACACTGCTTAGTTCTACCTCACTGGCTGAAGGCAGTATTATGAAATCAACACAATTCTTCAAATATAAAAGATACTGAAAATATTCCAATTTATATAATATTTAGCATAACTCAGGCCTCTAAGGATTATTTATTCAATGACAATACAAGTCCCTTAAATCAGTTTGATTTAGGAAACATGTAATTAAAAAAAAAAAGAACACAGCAAACCACCATTGTCAGAACCAAACACAGTGGCTGTCCAAGAGACATGCTTATTCATATTTGTTAAAGGAGGATAAAGACCCCTGGGATTAATAAATGCAACACACTGTTTTCCATTTTCATGTAACTGATTTAAGTGACCCAGTCTGCCAAGCCAGAATTGTTACCAACTCAGGGTTGTGTACAGTGCCTTGCAGCTTCTCACTCCATAATTACAAAAAAAAAAAAACCAACACAACAGCCACAGTCACAAAAAATGGTTAGCTGTGTTTTATTTAATCCCAAACCCCAGGAACAGAAGGAGCAGCAGTGCTTTCTGAGTAACAACAAAGGCAGACTACTATTGCTGCACAATGAAAATCCCCCTTGTTGCAAAGTCTCCTTCCAAGACACATATCTTTAGTTTTCCCTCTTTTCCTTCTGGGGTGGGACACATTAAAGTGACTAAAGCTGATTTCAAAAAAGGCTATAAAGGAAATGGACTAACTGTGTAAAATAAAACATGTATCACCATTTATTTTTACTAACGTGGGTGTGTAATGCCAGATTCTCATGAAACCTGAACTGTCACCTACCATGAGATCACTAGATTTGATGACTTGGAGTTAAAATGTTGCTACTGCAAAGAAGGACAACTTTGGCACCTGGAAATAACTACCCTTGGGAACGCACACCTCTAACGTTTATTCTTATTAAAATACACCACAACTGTTTAAAAGGATACGAGGTTTGCAGTTTGAGAAGCTGACAAAAGAGCATCTCCAGGTTGCTGTACACATCGGGAGAGTTGGCTGGAGCAGCCAGGCCAAAGGCCTGAGACTGGGGCGGCCCCACGAAGGGCCAGCGGAGCTGTGTGAGCACCTCCTCGAAGTCACTGCAACACACAGCAAGCACCTCAACACCAACTCCCAGCACCGGCCAAAGACCAGGGAGTCACAGCGCACCTCTTACCTCGTCAGTTTGTCCTTAAGAATTTTATGCCAGAATTTAACAGTGGATCTCACAAATTCAAGCAGATGAGAACAAGATGATTCCTGAAGCTTAATATCCAGTTCTGCCATGAATGCCAGAGTACTGGCTGCCTCTGGAACATTGTTGGTCATCAGATATTGCTGGATGCTATCACTGTATAACGCAAGAAAAGTCAAGGCCAAATATTCAATAAAAATAACAGAAAAGAATCTGTTGTATATTGAAAAAGAATGATAAAACTTTCTTGAACCCAAAATATTTTAATGATGGGATAAACTAGGTTACTATTCTTGGAACACATATACAGTACTCAGAAACTTTACCTTAACTCTTCTATTCGAGAAATCCATTTGAGATAGGCCAGGTGTCGCTCAATCTCTTCTACTTGACCGATCAGTACACCGAGATCCTCCATCCATGGCTGAGCTTTCAGTAAGTGGGCATTGATCGAGTCAGACAGAAGAGTTTCTTCCTCTAGAAGCCGACTCAGAGACTTTTTAGAATCTTCTGCATTCTTTAAGGCATTCTGAATTCTTTTAGGGACTTCTGATGAAACCGTAAGTACCTATATACACAGAGAAATATTAAGGCTGACGTAAAAACACGGCACTGTGTAGAGTAGTATCATTTGAGATACTAACCTATTTCATTTAGTTAAATATATGTAATCAGTTATGAGGAATCAGCATATTCAGAAGAAGAAAAAAAAATGCAAAAGAAAGATGCTTACCTGTTCTTCTAACTGCTTTTTGTTTTCAGAGAGCTTATCAATCAGGTTGTCTAGGTTCCTCAGGGAATCATAGTCATTTCCGACTTCTCTTTCCACAAATTCAGAAACATAGTACGGGATATCACAGTAATTTAGATCTCTAGTGGCTTCTTTCTTTCTAACAGCAACGCTTGCCATGTTTTCTTTCTCTGCAATACTGAGTATATAATTTCTAATTAGCCACCACTAAGCACAAACAAATGTTGATCTACTGAGGAGAGAAAATTCCATGGAAAGTTGGGCAGTTCAATATAAACTGAAACTTAAATAAGAAATTCACAAAATAAACTGCTTTAAGTCCTACAATTTGCTGGCTTAAGTCTTAGCTGAGATCTGATAAAACCTTGCTCACACATGCAGTCGGTGGGTTATTATACATCAATTACTGAAGAGAACTATGCCTGTTAATTTCTTTGTTCCCCAAGAGGGCAAAATGTACTAAAAATAATTCAATATACATGTAGTTCCTACATATATAGTATAGAAAACTTAATAAAAAGCACTGGGAAAATATTTTTGTAAAATGCCAAGGAAGATAACATTCTGCTTTACCCTTTCACACCGTTTAGGATGTCTCAGAGATATCAGCTGATGACTGACATATTATTAGCAAAGTGTCCATGTGGGTCTTACAGTGATTTGGAAAGTAAAAGCATAACAAATATCTATTAAAAAAACCCACACAGTATCACATAACAGGCACTTGCTGATCTACACATTTGGCACCATCCAGAAAAAAACCTGACATTGTGTCACTGTGCGTGATCATCCTCTCAAAACACTTAACAATGACGAATCCACTGGCTGGTCCAATTCTCTACTTTTTAGTATCACTTCCAAAACAGTATTTAAAAATAAATATGCATTTTTGCTATACATTTGCACTTTGTCTGCTACAGGCTTTAGTTAAGCTACACTCTCTATTAAACTGACAAGAGCAGCGTGAAAGTTGATGTGCAGTTGATGAGCCAGAGTTGGAGAGGCACCTGCAAGGACAAACTGGGAGACCAAGAGTGCTGCTGAGGAAGTGAATATATAAACACGAATAAAGAAAACAGAGCATTGTTTGCAGCAATAAAAAACAAAAAATACCGCAGAAAACAACTACACGAGTGGCGCTCTTTTCTTACTAGAGGAAAGGAGCGGAATACAGGAGACAGGAACAGGACGCCGGCAGCATCCCTCCCTCCCCGCTCAGGCCCGCGGCTCTGCACCCACCGTGGCCAGAAGGCCGGGCCCTTCCAAAGATCGGCCGAGGGCTCTGCGGGCTCCGGGCGACGAGCCCTTCCTCCCCCGCCGCGGGCGCCAGGCCCCGGGGCGCCGCTTCCCCTCGCCGGCCGGTGCCGAACGGACAAACCGGGGTGCCGCAGGGACAGCCGGGGGTGCGGCAGGCAGGGCAGGGCAGGGCAGGGCAGAACAGAGCCGGGGGTGCCGCGGGCAGAGCAGAGCCGGCACTGCCTCAGCCCGGAGCCCCCGCCCGGTCCCCGCGGCCGCAGCACCGCCCCTGCCGCGTCAGCGCCCCGCGGGGCCAGTGCGCAGGCGCGGCCGGGGACCGCGGCCGTGAGGGAAGCGGAGGGCACGGGCCGCAAAGGAGGCGCTCGCTGACACACGCTCAGGCTTTCAGGGTAATTTATTCTCTGTACCTGTTCTTCGGTACAGGCATCCGACGGAAAATACAAGTATTTTCTCGATGAAAAGTCCTAACTAATTTAAAACAGCTGTACACACCTCTGCAAGCACGCAAAAAGCCTCGCTAACAGAATCCTCTATCGCGCCAGCGCGAGTGCTACCAGCAAAGATTCCTGCGATACGTGTGTTCATCAGTACCTTCATTTTGTTGTAATTCATCTTCCTCGGCTGTAATTCGGTGTATTTGAAGAGACTTCAAGGTGTGCCGAACTGATTAAAACATTCGGTGCTCGCCAGAAAAAAAGCAAGCTAAACATTCTTCCAGGTCTGATGCTATTAAAAGCCCATTTCTGAAGATGCGCCCATGTTACAGCTCAAGCAACTTACTCATTCAGTAAAAAGCACCATTCACTAAGATCTCTATTATATTACAGCCACCATCTTGCAAATGACTACTGAAGTTAAACGCTAGCACCTAAAAAACTTTAAAAAATACAAATCTCTTACTGTCATTCTTTAAAGATTTGTACAGAATATGTAAATAAAAAATCACTTTATGTGTGTTAAAGTGAAGTCATTTTGCAGTTCATTCAGCGCAACCAGGTAGTATTCAGTTGTGTCTGGTTCTTTATGCTTGTGTCCATTTTCAAAACTTCCCGAATCGCCATGGTAGCGTAAGTTGATGGGGGAAGGGAGAACTCCATCTTTAGTGCCCTGAATTTACCATCTATCATAAGATGTAAGAGAAGACACAAAGCAAGAAAAAGTTGTTAAGGGCATATGCAATGCTTATTCTGGAACACAACCAAGCCCCCCAACCCATGAAGCAAAACAACCACCATCCTCACATTCCTATTTACAATCCAGAGTGAAATTTCATAAAGCAGCTTCTTTATAACGTAAGAGTTTTCTTCATTTTAAAAGAAAACATTTGTTCTTTCAAAACTGAATTCCTAGCCTCTCTTCACTTTCCTGGAAAGCAGTGTCAAAACACTTTGTGACTAGAGTTAAGTCTTTGAGTATCTCTTGTGTTCTGCACAAATAATACAAGCTCAGCTGTACAGATAACTTGTTGCTTAATTCCACCTTTGCTAGTTGCAAACATTCAGTGCTCAGCATTTCCTCAATTTTACAGACACCTGTAAGAAAATTTAACAGTCAATATAAACTGCTGGAAGAATGGCTCGCACCCTTGGGAAATAAGGGTCCGTATTTAGGCACCTGGCTTTGGAGATCGTTAATGCCACTCCTTAACAGTCTAGTTAAATGAAAGCTCTTCCTTAAAAGAGCTTTCAATATGTAGCAGTTGAAAGTAACAGCCAGATCAAACTCCTGTTTTGCAAACTTGTAAAAAACTTACAAGTTAGGGAGAACTGGTAATGGTTTTCAACTTACCTGTAGGGAGAACTGGTAATGGTTTTCCTTCCAGTTTATCCAAATCCGTAGTAAATAATGGGATTTTGGGATCATCATACGCAACAACCTCCCTTTATAATACACATAAGAGTTATTATTATTATTATTATTATTTTGGATAACATATATAAATGTATACTTATTATAATACTATTTATTATTATTCCAGTTTGGCAGTTAAAACTGAAATGGAGTTGGCATTTATGGCACCATAACTAGTAAAGCTTTATGTAGAAGACACCTCTGATGAAGATTATTAAAAAAAGAAAAATTAGTGAGAAGTTTCTTTGCATAACTCATCTGTTTTCCCTCGTGGGCTGTCAGGATTTCCAACTATACAACACAGGAAGAATGCTGCCAACACTGTGAGAACTTAAGAGAACTTAAGAGAAGTGAAGCCTTTAAATACAGTCATCTACACCTAAAAAGGGCTTAAACACATTCTGCCATTCATTTAACAGAAATTCCATAGGTACAGAATTTTTCCATATGTCCCTATTCCGTACGTAACGATGAGGCTCAAGATATGGCTGGGATGTAGAAAAGCTTTATTTTAATTGGCACTGATGTTTCAAGTGTATAAAAATTTGTATTGTTGATCTCCCTCCTAAACCCTCTATATATTTTTTCTATGCATCTGTGATCAAATCTTTCTGCATATTTGTACCTGTTTAAAAGGTATTTATTCAGTTGCCATGTGACAACTAGGTTGTATCTCTAACAAGAGTGATTTAAGTAAGTTTAAGTGATACAAGTCTTTCTGATTGATAGGTAATTGAAGACAAACTTTCTCACAGCAAGATTACAAATTGGAATATTATCTATCATCATTTTAACATAAATAATTATCTGTGAAGTGTTCGGGCAAGTCCTTGCAAGGAGTGAACAACTAGATAGACCTCTTGATATCTATCACAGAACCAAAGGACCAAGGAAGAAATAAGAGTATAGATCAACTTCAGCTGCATTAAAAACATGAGGGAAATGCAGAGAGATTCCTCCCTAGCTATGCTTCCTTTACACAAATGTCCCATGGAACAGTCTTAAGGTTTTCTGTACTTATTCATCTCACATGAACTCTATGCTGTCCATTCAAGTGTAATTTCCTTTACCCTCCTACTCACCAATTGACATTCTGAGGTCGAATGATAATCTTTCTGTATGCTCCAGAAAGTGAGTAATCTCTGATCTTATGCCTCATGTTGTTGATATCAAGATTGTCAGCTACGAGCATTTCCTTGTAGGCCTCGCCAACTGCAAGAGAGAAAAGTATTTAATAGGACAGAGCATAGTGTGGCCAGTTGAAACAGTCTGTTTTCATGGGTCATTCCTTACCTTGCATTTAGTAGTTTTCAGCATATATGGGATAAATGTTACACAGAAGTTTAAAATTAGTGCAAATCTTATTACCTACAATGTTTGCTTCTGCACTCTTATTAGCAGAGGCAGTAACGAAGAAAACACCTTATCAAATTAAAATTTCAGCTGAAAACAAAATTTACAAAGTATTTTATTGACACTTTATTGCCATCTCATGCAATAGTACCTAGACTTCAACAAGACTAATCTCAGGTATATGGGAAAAAAAGAAATAAATAAAGGGCCAGACTACCTGTTACTCTCCCTTTGAAAAAGCAGCAGAGTGCATTGAGTTGACAATCTGACAACCAAACACAAGAGCAGTTCAACCCAATATTGAGGAAAACATACTGGGAGACTGGTTTGGCTAAGCAGGGAACTCATGACCAACCTATATAAGGACATGAACAGTAGCTGAAACCTAGATCCAGCTACAAAGAAGGAATATACCAACGTTGTCCAGGCACATAGGGATTGGTGTTAGGAAAGCCAAAGCTCAGCTAGAGTTGAAATGAGCAATACACATCAAGAGCAACATGAGTTAAGCTGCAACACAAGGAATGAAAGAAGACAACAAGGAGAATGTTGTCCTGCTGCTAACAGGGGCAGCTGGTCTAGTGACATACATAAGGCTGATGGTCTCAGTGGTCCTTTTGCCTCAGCCTTGATCAGCAAGGTCTCCCAGGCCTTTCTTCCTAGAGGCAAGGTTCAAGAAAGAGAGGGACTATTGGTAGTGGGAGAAGGTGCAGGCTGAGAAAAGTGGCTCATGTCATGGTAAACCTTATCTCTAATATCTGTGAAAGACAATAGAGACACCTGGGGAGGTCCCAAGCAACTGCAGAAAACCAAGTGTTGCACCCAGCTTCAGAAAGAGCAGGGAGGATGATCTAGGGAATTACAGACCAGGCAGACTCGCTCTGGTCCCTGGCAAAAATAATGGAGCTAATTCCCTCTGGGCACACAATGATTGTGGTTTTAACAAAGGAAGAAAAACAAACAAAAAAAACCCCCAAAAAAACCCTCATCAAACTTACTGCCTTCTATGATGAAATGACTACACCTGTGAATAAGGGGAGAGCAGTGACTTCCCTTTAGCAAGGCTCTCAACATTTTCCCACAGCATCCTTGTGTCCAAGATTAGAATGTTACAGTGAATGGACTGCTGTGTGGGTAAGAACTGTCTGGCTCATCATGTTAAAAGATAGTCACTACTGGTGTAAGCTCTACTTACAAGCAGAGTTCCTCAAGGAACTGGAATATGGCCTGTTAAACACCGTTATCAGCATATGTGGAGAGGAGCTGGAATTCACCCCAACAAGTCTGTGGACAAAGCCAAGCTGGGATGGCATTTGATACATGCAAGGACAGGACTGCCCTTCAGAGGGACCTAGGCATGCTAGAAGAATGGGCCAGGAGGAACCTCATGAAATTCAGTAATGACAAAATCCTGTACCTGAGTCTGATTAACTCCTTGCAGTGGCACAGACTAGGGAGCAACTCTGATGACAGTCATCACTGATTCCCAGCCATTATTCCCACTGGGAAAGGAGACTAAACAGAGTGACCTGGAAGCAACAAAAGGCTGCCAGTAATGTATCAGAGATCTGAAATAGGATATTGTTTTAATGGTCACCGAGGTTGTTTTTTAGAGGAAGATTGTATATATCTAATCTTAAAGCAGACTTACATTTTCCGAGTAAATAAATCAGTTAACAGTCAGACTTACTTTTATGCTTTGGATAAATAACATCAAATCCAGGCAATGGCATCACTACATCGTGGATAGTGTAGTTATCAACATCTCCTTCTTCAATATGAACAGCTGTGGCTACTGGCAGGACAGAAAAACGAAGTTACCAGTATGGATGTCTGTGACAGTTAACACTGGCTAAATTTAAAACAAGCCTTTTGATTGAAATAAGCTTACTCTGAGAGGGATAACTACCATGTTTTATCTCCACTTAATAGACAAAATTCCAAGAAAAGAAGTAACAGCCTTCAAGGCTGTCACAGTTGTTGACAGAATCACAGCCTGGCTTCCAGTGACTTAAATCTGAATGAAGTTAAGGCCTGCAAGAGGAATAGACCCCTTACAGGCATCAGGCATACATAAAGGAGAAATACTGTGGGAAGTGTCAGAGCAAATCCAAGTGAAGAAAGTTTTGACTGAGTGGAGCTTCTGCTTTACAAGATACTAATGCAATCAAAAGGTTTTATGGTTAAAACATTCATAATATCCTTTCATAGTTCTTCATAGCTTAACTCGGTTTGAGGTCATTCTTGAGAATAATCAGTTCTCCATAGTCTCTCCTCCCTATCCGGTTATTTGGAAAAACGAGCAAACCAACAGTTCATGGAAGTGCAATACCTAACTTCCAATTCCTTGCAAAATTTGACTAAAAAAGGCCAGGTATTACTGGGCCAAAATGGGTGAGAGAGATATTATGCAAGCAGTATCAGATGAACAGCTATGTGCCTTGTTTTCCTAGGAAATCTGAACTACACAGCATCACTGGCTTTGTCTGATTTTACCTCCTTTAAGTATGAGATCTCCTGGTACAGCTCTAAGCCCATATTCTTCTATTCTCTTGCTCACCATATTATTCCACACATAACTTTGGTAGCTATGAATATACATTAAACGATTATTTCTTGGTATCTAGAAGCAAAGAAAAAAAAAGTGAAACACTAGAAAGATTTTTTTTCTCACTATCATAACCAAAAAGGTAAATATTTGAAATGTTAACCTTATCCAGCAACAAGACTAACATAATTTCTTTGTATACAGATTTGATTTTTGTTCATTATTTGGGAAAAGTGTATGTGAAGAAATAATGCTTTTATACATTTGAAATCAGTACAGAAAAGAATTGTGCTTAAATTTAGAATAAAAAACCTTTTTTTTAATTATTCAACATGGGCCTATTATAAAACACTGAATTCATACTCAGTCTCCTGAAATCTTAAGTGAACTTTACAGCTGTGAAAGCCCAGTGTTATTCTAACTATCTTCTTCATAAACAAGACATAATTCCTTGTCTCCTACAATGGGCCCAGTAGTTTGTGGTGATGGGGTATTTTCTCCAAAGACTTGATCTTGATTATAGCACTTGAAAATGTCAAGTGAATCCATCACCTCTATACCAGGCTGATTCATTAGCCCAGAATCAGTTTGATTTACACTTTTAAAGCAACAGAAAAACACTGAAACTGAATTTTTGCACGGTTCTCAGATCTGTATTATACATTTACTAAGTATAAGGTTACTAAGTATAACTGTATTGCTTCCAACATACCAGGAAGATTGTTATATATGTTAGAAAGCTTATTATGCATACATTAATTGCAGATGTCATCAGTTATCATGCAGCAGTACTGCAACCAAAAAGGCAGGATTTTAAACTTAACTTTGCATTCATCAAGCATCTATAAGTCTATTTCAGATTCATCATGAGACCATCAAAAGAATGTTTATTCAAGTAAATACCCCCCAGCACTTTTACACTCACTATGCCAAATGCAGAGATTATGTTCTTCATTCCATACTTTAAGAGTCCACGTAGAAGCTGCCCTTCCACGCACCTTTTTACAGGTAGTTTCTTGAGGGCAGCTGCTGGATCTTTAGTCTTTGCCCATTCCTCTCTGCATTTCACTAAGTATCCCTTTTCAGCTAGAATGAGGATGTAAAATAAAAATATTTTAACTACACAGCAAAAAAGCATCCATTTCACCTTTTGTTAAAGCAGTTGAGAAATTAAAGTTTCAGTCATAGTAATTACAGAAATGAACAGAATCATAGAACACTTGAGGTTGGAAGGCTTCACGTGGAGTCTGAGCAGACTCTAAGTATTCAGGTCCCTTTTCACCCCCACTGCAAGAAACTGCACAGCAAGGAAAGATAAGCACAAAGGCAAAGTCTGAAGATTGCTTCTCCATTGCTAAACTGCCTCAAGTTTAGCAGGTGCAAAGCTGTCCTCACAAATGTCCTTTCAAATTGTAGGATCAAAATCTAAAAGTGTTTTCCCTGAATATACAATTCTTGGAGGAGAAAAGGCAGAAATACTTGATGTATCATTTTCCAGTCCTTACCTCCTGGTCGTGGTTTTAATATCAAATCCATTACTTCACTCCAATTGTTCTGTAGGATAGCTCTAAGATTCAAACAGGAAAGTGTATTAAGATCAAACTAAACATATTTTAAAGGGATTTAGCCAACTTATCAAAAAAAAAAAGTATTAGTGTTTAGACTTATGCAATATTAAAAGTAGTGCTCTTATGCAAGATAACTGCTGAAGCATGTTCAGAAACCAGATCTTTCTTGAATCTAAAATTAAAACTGGTATGTGCAATATGCCAGAAAAATGTTCCCAAAAATACATTAAGTTACACAGGGATAAGGATAAGAATAAAATTTAAAAAAAATAGAAGGGGGAAATGAAAGCAACACATACCTGCCAATTTGGTAAGTAGGAACAGCTGTGGTTCCAAATCTTTGCATCCCATAATAATTAATAAATCCAATTTCCCTGAGAGAGTGCATTGCTTGCTCTATCTGGTCATCAGTTCCTGTTATGTTTCTAGTATTAAAAAAAGGTTAAAGACAGATTATTAAGAGCATATGCTGTTTTGTGATGCTCATAATATTAAGGCTTAACATCCATATTATATAGCATATATCAAATTCAACATACTTCTGCCAATAGGACTTCTGTTTTGTAACCCAAGTTGTACTGGTATCTCTTACTTATTTAAAGAAAAAAGATTTTAACAGAACTGTCTTAAAACATACTAACATTACCTGAGAACAACAGTGAAATGATTCCCTTGCAATTCTCCCAATTTCAGTGGATGGTTCTTGTAACTGAAATTTCCTAATTTGAAGTTCATCAAACATTTATTCAAATGAGCAAGTCTTTGAGCAGTGATTCTAAAAAGAAAAAGAAAACAGTGACGAACCTATGCCTAGAAAAGCAGATAAATATAGAAATGCCAGCATTACAAAACAAAAAGCAGTGAGCCTTGTTTCCCCAATTTTCTACTGCTGCCTTTTAAAAATATTTTAACAAAATAGCTGAAAGAAAATAGCGGGTAATTCTTAAGGCTACTCATACAAGAGAAAATTTATACCATTGCAAAGACTGTCATCACTGTCTTTTCACATCTATGTTACAACATGAACTCCAAAAAAAGTATGCTGCAGTATCAACATATAGTGCACTCCACAAGCTGAACTCTGCTTTATCTGATTACCTGCTCCATGAATAGTGTTAGCACAGTATCAGATCCAGTTAGCTCAGTCATCAACACAGAGTTAAGTAAAATTAGCCACTGTGTACACTTAATGCAGATGAAGGAACATGGAATCCAATCTGTCACCGATATCCGTTGCTTTCGTTGCTAGTATTTTTGGAAGCATATCCTGTTCTTTGCATCACTGAGCTGCTCTTGTACTCTTCTGCTAAAATTTATACCAGGATAGAGGAGTTTATGAACTAGCATGGCCAGCATACTCAGCTCAGAGGGGGCTGATTAGCAGGCAATGTCTCCTGTCCTGTTCGGGAGAGTCGGGTGCTGTGGCCCTACTGAACAGACACCACACATCACTCAGTCCACGCCTGCAACACGCTGGAGCTCTTGGGCACAACATTTAAAGTGATCATGTTAAAAAGTAAACAGAACAGCACCTGAGATGGCTACACCACAGGTTTGGTTATCTGTCATCACTTTGCAGACCTGCCTTGCAGCAACAAGAATCAGGGACTTCTCAGGATTCACAGATCAGTATTTCCTTTTACATGTACAAATGTATGCACGTACAAAACACTGGGAGGAAATATATCAACAGTTAAGTAGTGGACTCCCTCCTTTTAACAAGGATTTGATCAAACCTTTGGAGCTCAAACCATGGAATTCCTCACTTGAATGTGGTTTTCAAAACATTGTAAATAGTAGTGCAGGCAGAATACTCCAACTTGCTAAACTGATATTGTAATATACGACTGGGAGACACCAGTAACATTATGGATGTAACATTAATTTAAAGTGTCCAGAAATCATATAATTACCTTGGAATACGACAACATAAATTTTATTTTCTCTTAGTAGGTGACTTAAAGAAATAGGTTTAGGCAGGAAAAATTCCTCCTAATTTTCTGCCCTTCTGGCTACTCACAGATGAGCAAAGGCAGTGGTTTAGCCTTCTCTGGAGCTGTTCAGAGAGTTCAGTGAGAAAGAAAATAGGATTCCAGCTGGAGAAAGGGGGAAACAAAAGTCAGGAAGGAAATGGGACGTAATTTTCACCATGTCATTCTGCTTTTCTGCTGTTGCATGGGCTCCATGCAGCATGAGAGCACGTAGGCAATGTGTCCCATTGCTTCAGCAAATAAATGTATCCAGCCTGTGACTCAGAAAATACTGATGATCGCCATGGAACAAAAAAGAATTATGGCATCTTCATTAATACCTGTGCTTTAAAAGATCAGGACCTGAATCTGCCATTTGTTCACTGCCATTTGTTAAGGTATTTAGCAAGACATCCAAGCTGTCATGGCAGCAGTGCCCACACTGCAGAGTATACCTTTACTTACCTGAGAACAGCGATCTCTTGAACTGTTATAGCCCTTTTATCTTTAGTTCCCATGTAGGAAAATATGTTTGGCTTCACTCTTAAAAGCAACAGTAACAGATATTATGTATATTAAAACAGCAACAGATCAAACATATTTTTCAGCATAATTACCTTGAATTATTAATCTTCTATAATAAAAATATACCTACATTCCCCAGAACTAGGCTACAATTTGACAGATGTGTGACATTTTCTAGTCTCATCCATGAGTACATGAAACAAAGGGAAACTTCTGCTTTAATTGTATGTAGACAAAGTCACTTTTACCACAACAGTGCTTTCAAAATATGAGCTCTGAAGTACTTCTTTATATATATTCAATGTACAAATGCATAGCCGCCACCAACTTCACTAAAAAATATTCATGTCCACTTCTCCCCTAAACTTCAAACAACAGCTCTGTTTGATTACCATGCCTGCACATTATGTGAGAGTATGAGAAGCTAATTTAAAATTTGAGCCATTTCTTTCCTTGAGAGAAAAATTTCTTTTTCACTTTGGACTTTACAGCCTGTGTTACACAGGGAGTATCTCCAGTTATTCCTGCTATGGGCACCACGGGGTAGCAGGATTGCCATTACACATAGTATCCACTTAACTATGCTCCTGTCATTCTGTTCTCAAATACAAACACTAAGTATCGTAACGGTTATAATCTAGATTGCAAACACTTATTTTTGGACAGGAAGGGGCCAAGCGAAGAGAAGAAGAGAAGTGGAGAAGTTTCCCTACCAGTAGATCACTGAACTGACCCAATTTTAAAATTGCCCTTCCTCTGCAATTCTCTGTGTTCATGTCACGCCTTGGCCAATCTTTTTGTTTCTGCACTTGATGGGGTGAAAGGAACTAAGCCTGTGTTGCCATGGAGAAATTAATACACAGAACAACAGTTTATCAAGTGTAACTGCTTAGGAACTGATCAGCATATTATCACAACGATATCTGACAGGTTCATAACATATTTGCATATATTCACAAACTGGGAAAAAAATAGCTTTTAATTCAAGTTACACATATTGAGGTTTTGAGCTGCCAAGCCTCTCTCAGATCAGCCAACGTCAATTGTGGGCTTTTTCCACTGAAGCAGCCGAGTAGTCTTTTAAAATTCTTAGGCTCACTTTATTCCATTCTCACCTCCCTACAAAACCTTTCAGTTTCAAATTTGACATTCGAAAAATAACTTTTTATTTTAAACACTGTCTACAAATTAGGCAATAGCAATCACTTGTGTTGCTCTTACATAATTCTGAAGCATAACATTTACAGTAACATCAAACATACAGGGCTGCCAGGCTGGCAGAAACATCAGCCTTACCTTAAAAATTTGGATAGGACGTTAATGGCATCCATAGTGTCCTTGTTCTCCTTGTACAGTACAAAGTGGCAGTAGCTTCCCCTAGATTTTGGCCAAGAGTGTTTTCTTGGATCTTTAAAAGCAAAAAGGTTAGTGTAATTTTTAAAAAGAATTAATATATTTGCCACTGCAGCTACATTTTTAAAAAATATGCAAGAGTCAATTTCTGCTAATTTCCATCCGCTTAAAAAAAAAAATTAAAAGAGTTAATTACTGACAGCAAAAGCTGTAAAGCACAATGAAAAATACCTCCCCCTCCAGTGGGCTGTAAACTTCTCTTTAATCAGTTCTGTCACCTAGAAAATCCTGAATGAAATAGCAACACTTCCTTTGTCATGAAATTATCTAAAAATACACCCTAGTCATTTAACTGCCATATCACCTGATTAAATTTCTTAAAAACATTATCATTACACTGATTTTCAGCAGTAGCAGCCACTCCACATTTCATCTAATGCCTTCTATAATTATTAGTTGAGGACCACTGGAAGCCTGTTTGTAGGAAGACTACAATTATTATTTATAGTATGGACGTATTCTTTATTTCTGTAGGACTTTTTATGTGTGTCACACAGAAGCATGAATCGTACCTCTACAAAAGCCTAAAAAAATACTCAAAAAATTACTTTAGGGTGTTTTGTTTTTTTTTTTTTTTTTTTAAATCCTATGGGAGAGAGAGATCTGGTACAAGAGAGACATTAACAAGGCTGGTACTGTGCCGTGCCTAGAAAAGGCCGGAGGGTGAGATAACTTCAGCTCCCACAGACTGATGTGCAGTTCTGTACAATTATTTGGTGCTTTCTGGAGAAGAAAACTGTTGATGATTTGTCAAGCTTTTGTTGCACACAGAAGCCCCCAGAGATAAAACATTCCTTTTACAATAACCCACTGTTAATGGCATTACTGGGAAGGGGGACTGATTCTACACATGTTTAGCAACCAGTTTTGAGGTGCTTTATCAATTCTTTGCTTTGTAAGAACAAACTAAGAATCTGTTTTGTTTTAAATAAGAAGTCCCTTATCTCTTGGCAACCACAAGGCAGACTTTCCTGGTTTTGTACAAAAAGGTTACAAGCATCTTTCAAAACAGCAAAAGATAAATGAAAAAGCAAGCCCTATTTCAATACATAAACACCAATGCAGGAAGGAACTTCTTGAGAAATTTTGCTCTTTTTGTTCACATTAGTTTTATAAAGCCCAGATACTCCCCACAGACAGTAAATATGTTTAATTCTTCCTTTTCCTTTTTTTTTTTTTTTTAAAGCTGGCATCCATACACACACTTCAGCACAAATAATTTTGGATGCTATAGTGTAAAGTACTATTCGTAGAGTTTTCAATCAGTTAGAATTACTGCACCACTTGCCTCGCACCATCAGTTGCTAAGCAAAGCCCTCTTCCCATGGAGTTTCCTAGGTCCTAAACTGAGCAGTATGGTCCAAAGCCTGTTAAGAGACCTCACACCTCTGCTGGTCTCTCCTCCTAAGCCACCACTGCTCTTAAACACTATCAACAAAACCTGCATTCAGCTGGAAGAGGAAGGTCCTCCTCCATGAAGCTCTTGGCAATTAGAAGGGAAGAGAAGAAAGACTGAGCTCAATTCACAAGGAAAGCCCTCTCCAGCTGGAATCATTCTTTAAATTGAACTAATTCATCATCACAAGGTCATTTCAACACACTCATAAAAGTGAGCCCTAATCTGGTCTAGACTGCAAGATTCTATAGATACTGTGCATACCAATGGGCTCCTCATGTTTTGAGCATCACAGCCATGTGCCTATCCAACAGAGGCTGCAGCTACAGTCCTGATATGTAACCATTCCTTACCCAATACTTCAAAGTATTCAACTGGGTAGATGGACCAGCGGGACAGTTTGCAGTTCTTATTGCTGTGCTTCAGAGTCATGTTACATTTTTGACAGTAAAACTGTATTTCCAAGCCCTTTTTCCAAACCTTTTGCTGAAACTTGAGAGCTGGAAGCTCCTTTTTAATATCGGGATGTATGATATACACTTTTAAAGTTGTATAAAGGCAGATAGCAGTGTCTGAAATACAGGCTGAAGGGCAAAGGCCTGGCTTACTGAAATCTATGGAAAATTTACCACAGTTGTCAAACAGTACTGTCAAAATTGGTAATTCACATCCCTTATTACTGGCAGACTTTCTCTGCAACAAATGACTACTGCCTATTCTGCACTAGGAAAAAGAGGCAGAACAAGCCCAATGCTTGGCGCTTTCAGGGAATTTTAAGCATTATTTTTGTGTAGGGATTTTTAAGGAATTGTTACTAGTTTGGCCAGCCCTGTTGCTATTTAGGAGGTCATAATGGTTGGCATTTCATTTTTGTTAGCATGAAATGTCAACATCTCTTACCTGTTGCAGTTCTGACCTCTGTCCCAATGCAGAGCATAAAGAGCACAAAAGAGTAGCATTTAATTTTTAGACTGTCGAAGGGTTTTTAGAGGTGAACATGCAGGTTTATGGTTATGGGATTATTTATGCTTCAGGGAACATCCGATAGTTAGGTGGTGGATGGCAGCAATTTAGACAGTTATGCAATGGAATCGTGCAGAGGGAAACAGTGAACATATGGAAAGCTTCAATCGGAGATGCAACAAACTTAATTTGTGGACAATGATGAAACAACAGTTTACTGACAACTTAGACAGTATTTTAAGTATTTTGGGTGTAAACTTACTATAGACACCAAGCAGCTTCTGATTTTACATTTTAGGAAAGCATGGTTGGGAACCTTTCACATTATCAACAAAAGTAATCAGATATCTCAGCTAATATTAAAAAATTCTACACTTCTGAAATATTTCTTGCCTGGGGAGCCCACTCAGAACTAAGACATATTTGTGGCTATGTACACACAAAAGATAAATATAATCCTGGCTAAAAGGAGCTTGCACTCTTCAGTCTTAAATCCATAAACATTTACACACACTCACTGACTCTGCACACATCTCCACCAACATGCACAGGTGCCTGCAGCATCACAGCTCAGGAATCCAGGTTCAGATAGATGATGCTTCTGTGCATCACAAGATGGTGCTCCAGATAATATTTTAATCCTAGAGACACACCACTACGTTCTTTTCAGCATATTTCAAATACTTGAATTCCTTCATACAGTATCTCTTAAATCAGACTGGTCAGCTTAACAACAACCACTTGACTGTAATAATGGTTAAAGAATAGAAGCAACAGAAGGAAAAGGTGGAGGTAAAACCGTTACAAACCAACAGAACAAAACTGGCTTAGGAGAATTTTGTGCTGGTAAGTATACATACTCCATGCATAAAGCATGCAAACATACACATTTTCTAAACATGGTTAAATAAGACACAAACACATTATAAGTGGACCCATAAAAGTACAACATTCCCATATTTGCACAGAACAAGCCTTAAAAAAAATTAAATTAAATATGGAGATGATGTCGTTTCCAATTTTAATTTTTTTCTAGCTCTTTATCCTTTCTCTTTTATCTTTAAAATCAAAGGATTAGGTTTACATACTGTCATTTGTAATAGGTTGAAATGACACAGGAATGCAACCACTTTAAACCAAACCTTAATGCCTTTTGTTACATGTGCACCATTCTGCATGTAGATAATCCTTTAAACTTACAATAGCAACAAATTAGTAGTAACATTAAAAAATGTAGAACACATTAATTTATTCCCAGTAACCAAAACAGTATTTGTAAGATTAAGGTGGATAATACTTCATTTTGAAAATCCTTCGTTACTTTGACTATTCCAAAAGAGTAAATGTGATTTATAATGAATAAAGACGTATTTCTGCAAATGCAATTAGCCTTGAAAACAGAAGTAGTCTTAGAGATCATGGTAAATACACTGTGTCTATATAAAACTATAACTTTGGGAAAACAAACAGGTGCTTGTCTCTATTCAAGTCATTGAGAATTTTGTCATGAATTTTCAAGACAGACAAGATTACACTGTCAGTGTAATGTACACATTTCAACTACAACCTCGTACTCCCACACTGCAAACTTACCCATCCAGGTAAGTTCATGAAAGCTAAGATCAAAAAATACTGAAAATAAAGCCCCTGTTTTGCCTATTCCCACTGAAATAGCAGGAGATGTTCTCACTTCTGACATGGTTGTACTAGATTATTATTGGGAAAGAAAAACAAGTAGAAATTTAAATTTGAAGCATTTCTTGTGCTCCTAGTCATTTTAGATGCACAGCATCAGTTGCAACAAGGAAAAAGCAATGCCAGACTACATTAGAAGGTATGCTCCACTTGAAGTACTTACTAACAATTCTTAGTTTCAGGATAATTTTAGCATTTAGCATGTCTTTACCCAACTGCTGTGACACTGAAACTCACTTGCCAGTGCTTTTTTCCCAGCAGCATGATACGCAATAATGTATTTCTTTCCATCTCTGTCTTCTGTTTTAGTCTCCAGTCCTGGAAACAAGGACTTCACAGCCTGGTGGATGACTGTTCTTTTTTCTTTGGTGTCTTCAATTACCTGTGTTAACACAGATAAATGCAGAAACCAAACAAATTAATACAAAATAGGAGGGATTCTCTTGGAGTTAAATTTTGCATGCTTAAAGAAAACCTACCAAATAATAATAAATACTGAATAGGTATACTTTTAAAAGTCTGGCCTACTTAAAACTAGTTTGAAAAATAATAAATAACTCTGTTGCAAACTTCAGTCTCAACAACACTCACAAAAGAAAATTCTCAAGATTTATTCCCGTCTTCTGCACTTAATAAAATTCCCTCTTCTAAAGAAAACTCTGGCAAAACAATTTTTTCTATATGTTTTAAAGGAAAAAAAAATTAGCTAGATAAGATTATTTTGTGTATGAATGCTTATTTGAAACTACGAGATCTAATCCTACTCATCTTTGTGTCCCAAATTTAGCTCAACCGTTTTTCTTTAAGTACCAAGGTTTTAATTTCATTTTGTACCTTCTTATCTTTCTTGTTACAGAAGACCATATTTATCTTATTTTCTATTAAATCACTAAACACTGGCCTTGAAAATACTGTGTCATCAGGACGGATGTCTTATTTAAACCTTGTTATTCTATAAAACAACACTAGACAGAAAACTAAAATATTGCAAGCAGGAATTAAAACCTGCATTTAAATTCTGTGTTCAATACCACCAAAATCAAAATGACAATTCACATGTATGAATTTGAGTATATCTGTAAGACTTTACAGAATTAAACCCTAAACTGGAAAAAGTTTGGTATTGCCTCCTGCATCCTGTTCAAATTGCTCTTATAGATTACTTGCACTAGAAAGCACGGACCTTCCACTCACTCCCTCTCTCATACTACCTCTGCCTCCACCCCCAAACTTCATATAATTTATTAATTTTACCTCTATGGCAACACTAGTTTCCTTATTCTTAAAAAGCTGGAGCTCCTCTAAACGCTGCTTGTCTTCATCTGACAAAACTGCAAATGTTTCTTCTGATGGGTCCTAATGCATATTTGGGAGAAAAAAAACAAACATCCAATAACCCTCACGGAACAACTTTCCGTATTTTAATGTTCTTGCTCAAGGAGCTTTAAGAAGCATAACCATTACCAAATCTTTACCTCAAAATTTACCTCATCATCCACTGGAACAGAAAAGTCATCTAAATGGCTCACACGTCCATCCTTGCCTATTTCATGGACAACAAAGTCCGAGTATCTGATAGGAAGAAACATGCATTACATTTGTAATAAATATAAAAATCCCACATCACGTGAACTCCTTTCCCAAGAAGCTGTTTGTTAGCAGAATTCACTGAAGAATTCTGAATTCACAGAAGTCAATTCACATAAAAGAAACTTAAATCATGGGAAAGCAGTACCTATTCCCATCTCTCAGAAGACCCTGAGAACAAATATCTAAACACAGTAGACTTCTTTGCAGATCACCAAACACCTGCTGTAGTTATTCTGAGTCATTTTCTCACTAGCTTGCAGAGATCAGTAATGCATATCCTCAATACCAGTCATTACTGACAATTAAGACTCTACTGCATTGCCACAGTGTGAACATGAATGCATTAACTCCATTGCTTCAAATAACCTGCAGGATAAAGTGCCACTTTTTTGTCACTCTAAGGATGCAGGACAAATTCGTCTTTGTTCATATATTCAGTTATAGAGAATATCATTAAAATAAAGTTAGTCTGCATTCTCTATGACAGCAACAAAGAACTGGACATTTTTGATCGAGTCATTTATATCCTGTAATAAAAACATGATTTTTATGTAGCATTTGCTTGCAATTGGAAAAAAGAAAAAGAAAACAATTCTTATTCTTTGAATGTTGAAAGATGAATGGAACTTCATCATGGGAATGTTTCTACTGTACCTTCTCCAAGCACCCGTTTGCCATCCCTCTGTGCAGCCGTACATCATATTGGTAGAATTCTTTCCTGAGGAGTGTTATGTGTCCTCTCTCTTATTCTCTGTAGCTGTCTAGACATACTAGTGACTAGTACCATAAAAATGCCAGGACTGATTTAATAATAGGTGTTATAAACTAGGATCAAAAAATAACCACAAGCCCACGAATTTTCTACCATTCGGCTACCTTCGGCCAATCAAAATTGGCACATTTCCCAGAAGAAGATTCAGCATAGACTGTGTTCCCTAGTGAAGGATTATGCTAGCTGTTTAATGCTCCATACATAAAGATTAAATGTGTATATAATATGTACATAGCGTTTTATTATGTAAAATGATCTATATATTAAGCCAGTATTTAAAACTAGGGACTTTTCAGTGTGTAAACAAAGCATCCTTAAATGCTTTGCTAAGTCAGGGAAACAATGATTCCCACTTCAGTGAGTTTTTGTATTTGCATTCTGTTTTATTCAAAGATATTCTTTAATTTAAAAAACCTAGAAGCTTCATAAAAAAAAAAAAACTACTAAAACCCAATATCTCACTAAATATATAATCCATATATATAACAACTTCTGCATCCTAAATTACAGAATTCCCTTTTATGTTTTTCAAATTACATTAGAACTGATCAGACAATAATTTGAAGCCTAACGGACCATTTGGTAAAAAACATGTTTAAAGACATTAGCACAAAACAGTCAGGTCAAAGCAAATAAGAACCAAAGAGAGATGGTTTCGATGCTACTCTTCAGTGCATCTTGTATCAGCACTGAGGAGTGGTACAAAAGGTGGGTGTACTGCATAAGGATTTATGTATGCTGTATGCTGCTGCCAGAGCGCCAGGCAAACAGCAAAGGTCAGTGTAATCATGTATTTCTATTCATAACCAGCTTCCTTCTTCAGAGCTCCATTTGACAGGAAAATAAACAAAACCAACCCACAATCTAGAAAAGTCCCAAATTAAACCTTTCTTTCAGTTGCAGCACTAGACAAAAAGTAATGAACCTCTCTAGCGGTTCATAATACAGTAATAATCCATAACATATAATCCAGTTGCATCCTGCGAATCAGAAAAGGAAAATGGAGAACTACAGCTGCATTACACAGGGAATTAACACACATAACAAGACAAAGAGTTACCTCTCCTTTAAGATTCCAGAAAACCCTTTATGAGAGCTAACAAATTTAGTTATGCCAACATCTCTTTCTGTCAGGCCATGCTTCATCATGTCTGCAAAGCTCTCTGGATCTCCATCTTCATCGCTGTCCTCTAGTTCTTCTTCTTCCTGCTCCTCACTTTCCTCATTCGGAATTATTTCATTTTTCATGTCCTCAGGTTGTTGTGTTACAGTCTCAATACTCTGCCCAGAGTCATTCCCTGTCTTAGACTTCTCCAAGATCTTCTGTCTTTTGATTTCATCTGCATTAGCCACATCATCCTCAGAGCGAGGACGTTTCAAGGATACACTATTTGTTTCTACAGTTTCCATGTTTAAGGCACAGTGTACGATAGAAAGCCCTGAGGAGGAAGAACAACAGTTTATTTCTTGTCTGCCTAAAAGCAGTATCAATACATAATCCCTTCACTCCAAGGACTCTGCCCCCTGCAATGGTTCAGGAAAACTACATAACTTTATGAATTTTTAAGTTAAACATCAAGTAAATATTCTGAACAGCTAGAAGCAATATGTACTTGGGAAGAGAGAAGGGAGACGTTACAGGGTCTTAATACCCACCCAAGGCACCATGCATGCTGGGCTACAGCAGAGCCTGATTCAGCACTGACCATTTACCACCATTGTCACTCCTGCCAGCCCTTACCACAGCTGCATCCTGTCCTGTGCACACACAGGCTCTGCTGTCAAAGAAATGTAGTGCCCAAGAAACATTTTGTTACCAAGCCTTCTGTTAAACATTACTATTCTCAATTATTCTGTTTTCTATCAAGATTCCATCTTGCAAAGACTGAGAGAGGATGGCTCGATTCCCTGAAATCTGAAATCTCATCGCTTCCTTTTCTATGTTCTTCCAACACACATAATGCCACAGGGAACTCAAGGTGGCAGCAATTCAGCCCAAAAGATAAGAGAGATGAGATACCAAAATCATTTAATGAGTGGAACAAACAAAACAACAAGAAAGTGAAATGATCTCTAAGAACAAGACTACTCACGTTGGTGGAACAAAGTTCTGATTCTTCCCTGGCAACTTGAGCTGCCACCCTTGTATCAGCAGAACTAGCACCTTCAGATCTGAAAAACAGAGGAAAATTAACTCTGAGAATGTTTTAGTCAAAAAAATAAAATACACTATGAAAACATGCATGAATGTGATCATGACAGAAACCAGCTGTCCCTGACCCAGGTATCAGCAGTTGCACACAGCTACTCAGACGGACTCGTTAGTAACAAATAAAATGGTGAAGTGTTACCAGCCTAGTGACATAACACATTATTACTTTTTAGCAAGCTAGAGGAGAGAACTTCGGTTTTATTTCTATGTTTATGAAAGGAAGTTGGAGTTCCAACTAATCAGGCAAGGACAGGACCTTTCTTCAGCATCGCCCAACTGGCACACCAGTTGTACTGGGGATAAAGTGCAGGATTTGGTTATAGGGAAGGAGGCCACCAACTGCCCTGTGCTGATGTGCCAGTTCCATCTGGAGCCATAAACCCACCACTTGCCATCCTCCCACTCATCAGACGAGCACACGGTGCCTCTGCTCCAGCTTATTTAAGAAAGGGAGGATCTGCCAGTGGCAGAAATGCAAAAGAGAGCGCAGGAGAAGGCTCATGACAGTGTGCTAAAAAAGACACAGGGAAGCATGGGGAAGGGGACAACCCCTGGGGTTGGAGATGCACTCTGGGAAGGAGGTTCTCCACACCGGAGCCAGGACACCCCTGACGGGACTGTGACCTGTGGAGGTGCCCACACTGCAATAAGGACATGCTTATGGAGAAGCCCTCATGGGAAGAAATGGGAAAGGAATGAGCAGTAGAAAGAAACTTCCATGTACCAACTCCAACCTCTGGCACTACCACTGCCTTGTGCAAGGTTCAGAGCTTAACCTGAGGAAAGGAGTTCTCCCCAAGTGTTTAAGTGGTGGTTTTCTTTGTATCTCACTAGCCAATTGGTAATTAAAGTTTATGCTAACAAGCAATAAATTAAATTTTCCCTGTGTCAAGTCAGTTTTGCCCATAACAGCCATGTTCCTAAATTAATAGGATTCAGCTGTTACTGAGAAATTAATCTAGGCATAAAGCAGTATTTCAGAGCTACACAAATCATCTTGTATTATTTGTCCAGCCACTAGACAGCATATTCTATTTAGTTTTAAGCGGCATGTTCTTAAAGGAAGACCCACTACTAACTTGATAATCAGCATGCGCTGGGTTGGTAACTAATTGTTACCAGTAAGCTGTTGGCCACTGCTGACTTCATGGCCTGGACTTTCCATTGTAGAGATCACAAACTTAAGGTGAAGGGCGAGAAGCAACTGTTTCAGAAACACCTGAAATGTTTTGCTGAAATAAAGAACTGAAAATGGATGCTACACAAATAAATGAACAAAAGGGAAAGGAGACTTATAAAAGTTAGTGTATGTATGGCCTGATGAGTGACAAGACACACAGAAAAGAAAGCAGAACAATTAGAAAATCAGTGTACCTTCAAGCTGAAAGCACCAATTTTAGTGTATCCACAAATAAAACCAAAAGTGCATAAAATCATTCTTTAAAAAGAAACAAAAAATAAAGTCATAGCCAAGAGAAGCAATTCACCATCATTCCCAGATTCTTCTCCTATGTACTGAGACCTACAGAGCCCGGGTTAAAAAGCACTGAAGTAGAAAATGCTTCTAGATGGCTTGTGAATGTCTTCACATGGCGAACAAAACAGTGAAATCATTCGGCACAGTGAAATCCTCTGAGACACCTGCCAAATGTGGTAACAAGAGAAATCTCATGTTTCTAAAATAAAACTGCAATGTCTAGTTATTGAATTGTACAAACTGTTAGATGAATTCAATGTTGGGCACAAATATTCCACATAACTGTCACGTGCAGACTATTCTCACAGCAGAGCAATGACTCACATACTACAAAGTACTATCCTGTGCCAAGCGGCGGCCATCATCTGGGATAATTTCTGCAGGATAATTATTTGAAGGAGCAAGTTGAAGTGAGCGGGGCACACACTGCCTCGCTTGTGCAGATCGCTGCTGAGAGGCGCATATTATTTTCTGACAGCTGCTCAGCTGCCTCGGTCCTTTACCCAACAAACAGGTGTTTCCACAAAAGCCAAAATCTGCATAAACAGCAACTCCACAGCAATTTCAATGTTTTAGCAGAGGCTGAATTTACTACTACAAATAAAAGGCTTGATTCTCCTCCCCAGCCGGGAGTGGTGTGGTACCTGCCAGGCAGGCACGGCGGGCGGGGGAAACACACTAAATAGCAGAGCCGGAGCACGACAGCGCTGGGCACGGAGCTGGCTCCTCGTAAAATGAGGCACGTGGGATTAAAAGGCGACCGGAGAGAGGGCGCGATGATGCAGCAGGAGCAGCGCCCGAAGGCCAACCCTCGGGGGGGGGCAGCGGGCAGGGAGCAGGCAGGGAGAGGGCCGGGAGGGCAGTCGGAGCCCCGCGGGCCGGGCCGGGCCGCAGCAGCGCTCGGGGCGCCGCGCCGGAAGAGCCGCTGCCAGCGCCGGGGCAGGGCCGGGGCAGGCGGGGGTCGGAGCAGGAGCAAGCGCTGCCGCGGGGTCCCGGCACCCGCCCGGGGAAAGCCCGGCACAAGCCGGGGCGAAGTTGCCCCGGGGCCGGGAGCGGGCAGGCGGCCCCGCCGCGGAGCCCTGCGGGGCCGCGGCTGTCGGGGGAGGGCGCGGCTCCGCCCGCCGCCAGGCAGGAGCCGCGGAGGGGGAGCCACTTACCCGCACGCCGGCTCGGGAGGACGGGCCGGGCGTCAGCACGGCGGGGAGGGAGGGAGGGAGGGAGGGAAGGAGGGAGGTGGAGGCGGCGGGGACGAGCCCGCCCCGGCTCCGCGTGTGCGGAGGCGGCCCCAGCCGGAGCCCGCCCCGCCGCCCCGAGGGCTGCGCGGAGCCCGGGGCCGGAGGTGGTACGTGGCGAGGGGCTCCTTTTGCCCGGTCCTCCGTCCCCGGCTTCCTGTGGAGCGTCTGGGGAAGCAGGCGGGAATTTACAGGAGAACTGCAACTCTGCGGAAAAAAAAGAAGTTTAATTTCCAAAATGCAGCTGTAGGCAAACCAGGGAGTCGCGTACGCGAGATGGTGGCTTTCCTGAGCTCCCCTGGCGTCCGAAATACACTGCGCTGATTGAGCATTAGTCCCAGGACGAGGGCATGTTCGAGTACCATTTCAAAACCTACACAGGAGCTATGCAAATCACGCTACCATTTTAAAGCTAAACAAAACCAGGCCAGATCTGTGCTATGAGTCTTTTCTGACACAGTCAGAATGACATTTTCTACCCTCCTTTCTATTTTAAGCAGTGGTGCAAATAATGTATTTTCATTAACTTCAACACGTAGATTTGTCCTTATTTTTAAGAGCCTTTGTGTCATGTTCTAATCCTAGCCTGCCTCAGACTTCCTCTTTGCCAGGCTATTAACACCAGTATTTAGTGTCTCATACTTCTCATTCCTTAGTTGTATTCACACTCTTCTTACGTGATGAGACTTACAACTGCTATGCGTATATGGGTAACTTTTTTTCTCGTTCCTTGTACTTGCCTTCCCCCTTGGAGTAGAATAAAAAAGTAATGCAATGGAGTGCTTTGGGTTGGATTTAAAAAATCCCAGGTACACATGCACTGCTTTATGAGTAGCTTATAAAAGACCCCCATCAAGGAAAAAAGGAAGGAGTAAAGATTTGTGGCACTCCTTAGTTCTGAGCAGAGTTGGATCCATAGAGATTTACTTTATAAAGCACTATGGGATCAAAGCTTTGTCTTTATCACAGAGCTTTAGTTTATACCCTGTCCACCCTCCATACTTGGAATTTAAATAACCCATTAGATACCAGGAGGGGTATCAGGAATGGGTTTGGTGTGCTCCTGTAAACAGCTCAACGGTGGACTGGAAACAGCAATGGATGTTAGTGATAACATGGCAGATTATGGCATGTCGGGAGACTGTGGCATCACTAGGGAAGCCAGAACTAGGACTACTGTTGCCCAACTTGCAGGCCGTCAGGGTGGAGGGGCAGCACAGAGCGAGCTATGTGTCATTTGAAGATTGCTGTCATATGGCCAATTGCTATGGCTCTGGTAAGTTTAAAAGTAATTCCTTCATTTGTCCCAAGCAAAGACATCTCACTGAAAATGTCTGGCTGGGGGACACCTTCAGCAGGACTTGTACCATGCATCAGTCCAACTTTTTTTGTCATGTAACTTTTTGCTTCTTCTATCTTGTGTGGGAGGAAGTCCCTAAAATACTTATTTTTCCTCCTCCAAATTCCTACATTCAGTACCTCCCTGTCTACAAAACCCTTGTCAGTAATTGAGTAGCTTGTATGTTACAGCTGTGCTTGGTATGATAATTACCCTTCTGTTAGTTCTCTCTGTTGACTATGTTCATCTATCATCCATTACCATCAGCTCAGATAGAATTTGGAGTGGTATGAAGTACCTCATACACTGAAGAACCAGCATTTTAAAGGACCTGCAGGTGCTACCACAAGGTAAACAGCTAATATAGTCATTCCTCTGCATTTCCTGAATTTTCTAATATATTCAGCAAAGTTTATTACTCCTTTCTCAATATCAGTAAGCATTCTCTGACATATTAAAGAACTGTTTGCCTACATCTGAGAATCTACAGACAAAATCCTTGAGACTATCCTTCCTGTGGTTCAGGGACTGAAAGGAGGGAATCTTTGGTTTCTGAGACAAAACTGAGCCATTCTAGCAAGTAGAGATCATCAGTACTTAAAATATGGTTTGCTCGGTCACCTTCTGTTACAGTCTATCTGTACATGGTTTCCAAGTGTGAGCTGGCAAACGGGCATCACCACTTTCTCTTTCCATTAGTCAAGTGCTCCTTTTACGTATGGAACTATACTGTAAAATGTACTAAGAAAATAATTATATGACTGCAACTTTAGCTTGATTTTTTTTCCTATGGTTGGTTTAACAATTAAAAAAACCTCTATTATAAATGCTATAAAATACCCATTTTGTGGTATAATTTAAAAATTTTGTCAATATGAATTAAAAGGTATCAGTATGTTCCCCTAGAAACTTTCTT